TAAATGGGTCTTAGAACCAGAGAAGTCTCAGACCATGAAAATGAAATGATTTTCAAGATATGAGTTAAAAAAATGTAGAAAGTGGTCCTGGAGAGAGAGAGAGAGTAGGAAGAAGAACAGTCTTTAATTTGTAATGAATTGATAAATTTCTGAAGTAATAACTATAGAAATTTTGAGGAAGAAATAAAAACTAAAGAAATTCGACAAACATTTCCTTCACTCAATGTCTTATGTTCTATAGGATCGATGAGACAAATTAGTAAAACAAGAAAATCACAGTAGTAATGTATGGATTAAAGTGTGGAGTTAGTTGGAATTTACTAATTATTTCTCTTCAGTTGAATGATCTTTAAAATTGATATTAAAGTACCGTGATACATATATCAGTTTTAAAATTGCTTTGAATCAGCAACAAAGTAATCGGTATTACATAAAATATTTACATTGACAGTAAATTATATTTAACAATGACATTGTTAGGAAGCTTCCATAATTCTAGTACCATTTTAAATTCATTTTGTGCCAACATTTTTGAAAGTTGCTTCGATAATTATGGATAAAATATAACAAACTTTAAGTAGAATTTTGGAAGCCACATAGATACATCATAATGAAATCTTTAAAGAAGAAAAATTGAGCATTTTTTTCTGTTCTTTTTAAACAACAACAACACTGTATTACATGGGTTACAAGTACGATCACACCACATCAGCAAGTACTTAATCCGCACCCTTTCATATAATCGATAACATTTTTGAATATAGAGACAGCTTCAGCTATCTCTTCTTCACTAATGTTTAGAGGAGGCGTGAAACGGATGAATTTGTCTCGGCACGGATACACGAGTAGGCCACACCCTCTTAGGTAATCAGTAATTTCAGAAGGACATCCAATCCCTTAAAAAAAATTTGCTATCAAGAACATTTAGGGCATTTATCTATTAAATTAAAGATCTTGTCTTCAGGATCTATAAAATTGGGAAGTAATGATTAGTAAATAATTACTACAATATTATCTAATACATAAGATAATATCAACTTCACATATGTATTTTTTTGTCATCTAATTTTTTTATAAGAACACCATAATAGAAAAAGAGAGTCTCCGAATAAGCTGTTTTGAACCAGAATCCAGTTTATTGATAATAAATATTTATTAATTTATTATTTCAATTATTTTATGAAGGTTAAACAAAAATTCTACATCCCATGAAGTATTGCCCAATTGCAAGACCAAAATGAGGCTTAGCCAGTCTTGGTCTTGGTCTTGCAGCAAGAGTCTCAAAAGTCTTGCAATTACCTATTAGCGTATTGCTATTTTTCAAACATGTTAGTAATTTAGATCATAGAACAATGTGGGTAAATTTTGAGCTTATATTGATATGGAAATTATAAAGTCCTACCAAATTAATAAAATTAACTTGGCAATATTTGGTTACTATATTATAAGTTAACCAACTTTGTTATTAGATGAAAGGAATCATGGTATGATGCCTTTACTAGGGAATGTCTATCAATATCGACATTAATACTGAATACTCAATATGACTTAACAGCGAGATACAAATCTCACAGGTCAGCCTTGTTCTTGATCAAATCTTTTAGGGTCAGTCTTGGTCTTATTCTTGCTATAATGAAGCCGTCTTGGTCTAGCTGCAACTAGGTGGAGACCGTTTTTGGGAAACACTAATTTTATGATATGAAAGTAAGGAGAGGTCAAGACTTGTAGCTTTGAAACAATCCATCAGGAAGCCTGTACATAACAATAAATGGCATGATATTTGGCAAGAGACCAAGTGGTTCCATTTCCATTTCCATAAACAAAGATGCTGCACAGCTTCTTGCAGCAAACTGGACCCAAGATCAGCATTTCCATCACTTTTTTATTTTTTTATTTCCCTTTTGGTCAGTCAGATTTTCCCTTTTTCCCCTCAGAACAAACTTAAAAATTCCTTCTTCCCAAATACATACAAAATAATAGGTAATATTATATGGAACTATCTGTTTTATGATTATCTTACTTATATTATTTAAAAAAAATATATTAAACTGTGCTTAGGCTTTGATTGATAATTTTTTTTTCCCTGTCAACCTTGGAATTTCCCTAAAAGGGAAAATTTTTCACCAACGTGGAAATCCTGCCAAAGACAGGCATAGGTGGAGAAAGACGGTTTAGTTGAACGAAGAACTACATGGTCTATAAAGTCAAAATAAAAGAAAATATATCATCGGTTAATGCAAAAAGTCATTAAGTCACATTTATAACTTTAAATAATTAAGACCTTTGAAAAAAATGTCCATTGTGAAATAAAAAAAAAATGTGCATTTGTTGTAACTATATTTGACACATAAAAGGGTTTGTGTTATTTTTATGCACTTACAATGTTTTTGTATCGATAAATAAAATAAAAATTGACAAAAACATACTGGAAAGTTAACCTACAGCGAAAATGCACTTAGTGATGTTTTACAATAAACCAACAATATGAAAATTATAATTAATATTTATTGTTGCCTAAGAATAACTATGTGAGGAAATAATACCTATCAACAACGTAAAGGTATCAAGTATAAACAAAATTAAATTACTCAATATCAACTCAAAGATACAAGATAATGTATGAACTTTATATTTTAAACCTTATAGTAAAAAATATTGATATTTTATTTGTAATAAGACTAAAAACGAGCTTCAAGTACAATTATCATAGACAATAAAGAGAAACAAAATGATTTTATTCACAAAATAATTTCTAATTTCCGTAGCAGAGGGATGCTAACATACAGGGTAGAATTTATAATAATGTACTCCGTACAATTGTGAATTATCAAAGTAAGCGAAAAAAACATCAAATGATCAATTTTGAAAAAATTAAATAATTTAAAAAAATAAAATAAAATAAAAACCCATAGTTAAAATAGTTCATATCATTAAATCATATTCCGATTGTGTTCAGGCTGATCGTTTTGATTTGCTGAGGTTTGAGGTGCTGAGGAAATGCAAAATAGTAATACGATTCTTACTCAATTTGCCAGCTGAGATAAATGTCAGGAATAATCAAACAACCATAAAAAGCAAAAAGATATCTTTTAAAAACTGTAAAAAGTTGGAAATTAATATATATTTTTTTTCTTAGATGGTCTATTATTTTTGTTGGGGCAACAGATTCCCAGAGCTTAAGCTTGAGCTATTTGGTGTATATCAATTGATAGATCTGAATAACTGTGAGGTTATAAATCCAACAATTCTTCAACAGTTTTGAGAAGCTACCAAAGTATTAATAAAGTGGATACACTATATATTTCAAAGCATTTTATGTGGTTAATCTATTATTAAGTCAGATTAGGTAGTGGTGCAATAAGCCTTAAAAAAAAAAAGACATGGACATCTCATATTTTTAAGTCAGTTCATTAAAGAATAATTTGTAAATGATTCCTGTAAAAACCAAGCAAGGAAAAAGAAATCATTTGTAATAAAATATTGTAAATGAAAAAGTAAGTTTACTATTCATAAATATACAATTGGTAGTTTAAGTGAATTACATATTATAATGAAAACGATAAATGGATTAAACTTAGAAACTAGGGACTATCCTGGAGCACAATCTCTCTATAAATTGAGTACCCTTAATTATAAAAGATACAAAACTAAGAATGACCTAACACCATTGACTTTCATTTTGCTGAACCCCAGCCTGAATAGTTTTTTTTTTCTCCTCTACTTCGACTTTTTGGCTATAGGGTTTTTTTCCCATGAGAAATTCACTCCGAATTTGATAATTCTATAAAAGATTACTCCCCTCAAAAAATATGATGCACAACTTACACAATATAAACTCCTTCTGGTTACCACCCTTTTAATCCATAAAATCAATATGTTTATAATCATACAAAATATATAGTCACTAAAATGAATTAGAATAGATCAAAGTTTTTTTTAAAATGTCAAAGAAGAATACTTAATACCCCTCTGCCGCAAATGTGGCGGAGAGTCAGAAATCCCAGTTCATCTGTTGGGCAATTGTCCACTTAACATCCTTCTTGTCACCCGCTGGCACAATGATATAAAGCATCTATAGTTGATTTCCTTGAAATGAAGAACTATAAATGTTTCCCCAAAATTTATTGTCTGGATACAGAAGGCTCAACAAGGGTCATTGACATTTTGGTGTTCTTTGGAACAAAAAAGGAGGCACTCATTGTGGATCCCACAATCAGATTTGAAACCAACGATCAGGATCAGGACTTGAAGATACATGCAGATAAAGATGAAATTTATACAAAATGCATATCTTACTTGAAGGAAAAGTACTGAGATGAATTCGGCGAGAAAGAATTCTCAATTTAAGGGCTATTATTTGGAAGTAGGGTGACCATCCCCCTTAATACAAGTAATTTCTTGCAGAGGCTAAGTGTTGGAAGGGAGCAGATGTAGACCATGGCAGAAGCTATTATTTTAGACTAATTGGGAATCCTCCATCACCACGTATATTAATCTAGGCCTTCGCTTATTTGATTCTATCAACCGTTCTTGGCATATCTAATATGTATCCAATGGTCCGACGTAACTCTTTCTTATATATATTTTTTTTACAGTATTATCTATTGATTGACGAGTATGTTATGTTATTTAGCATCTCAACACAGTTTAGCAGGTGTGGAATGTTGTATTTCTCTCTTGTTTGAAGTTATTTTCAAATATAATCAAGGTAGAGAAATAAATAGACACTCTTGGATACTAAGATTATAAAAATAAAATATTCACTAATTGATTAGCGAATGGAAACAAATCCATTGAGAAGTATACACTGGATTGGAACTCGCAGAATGCTTGAAAGAAAGAATACATGAAAGAAATCAATGACAGAGGGCCTGGCTTACAATAGAGGGAGCTCAAAATAATTGTTTTGTATGAAGATCAATATCAACTTAGGATAACTACAAGGATTAATATTACATCTTAAATTCAAACCTTTCACAACTAAAAATTAAAAAGCCTACTTGGATCAATTTGACAAGCCCACAGAAGCCCTCTTCCTCGCAAGAGTGGCATATCATCTTTGTTCAAACTGCATAGCAGGCCATCCCTGAAGAGAGCACCCATCTGAGCAGCATTTTCGGGAAGAAGATCTTCTTTCGTCACCTTCAGCATACATGTTCCTACCCTACAGCCAAGTGGATTGGCACCAAAAGTTGTATAATGGGCCCCAGGAGAGAGCAAATCCATTACTTCACAGCTAGCTAAACAGGCTGAAAGCTAAAAAGGTATAAATGTTAGTAATTATTTAACTTTTAATAATAATATATATTTATATACTCTAGCTAATTTATCAGTCTTATTAAAATAATTTACCGGATACATCCCTCCGGCTAGAGATTTTCCAAGGCAAAGGATGTCAGGCTTGACACATTCATAATCAGAACCCAACATATAACCTGTTCTTCCAAGGCCACACTGAATTTCATCAGCGATCCACAACACCCGACTTTGAGTACATAGACGTCGCACTTCTGCTAAGTAACCATCAAGAGGGACCATAACACCATACTCAGACTGGATCGGTTCGCACACAAAACCACAAACATTGGGATTTTTTAGAATTTCCTGAAATAAAAACAGACAGTACAGAAATAAAAGTTTTAAACACATTTTGAAAATAATGCAAGACAACTCCTAATAAAACCAATCATAACTATTTTAAACTAAGAAAAAAACATCATTATTAGTTTTGAATAAAAGAGATTTTTTATTGTTACCTCAAGAGAGCATGGGTCATCATAGGGGATTAGTTTGAGTCCACTTAAGAGTGGCTGAAAACCGTTGAATAAAATAGGATCAACGCTTGCGGAGATAGCACAGATTGAATTTCCCCAGTAATTCCAATTGGTAAAGACAACTATTGCTTCTTTGGGACATATCTTTTTTATTTTATAGCCCCATAATCGGGCTAATTTAACTGCTAACTCTACAGCTTCACAACCTGCAATAGTATAAGTTTAATTTTTTGTAAGTGTATTTATTTAACCTGCCAATCTATTGAATATTCTTTTTTTTTTCAAATAACTCCTTATCTCACCATTTTTGGCATAAAGGGGAAGAGTGGAGGTTCTAGAGATACAATCAAACCCTTTCTAACCCGAGTGGGAAGGTTGAGATTTATTCCATGGGTCCCCAATGAAATAAATTTCAACCGCCCAGTCCAGGTTTGAACCACATTACTAGTAGCTGGACTCAGGAATATTTAAGTTGGTAATTAAAATATGAATCAAATTTATTCTGGGACTATATCTCTTAAGATTCCGCCCAGGCTCGGATCAGAATAAGCCTGGGGTAGCTCCTGCCAGCTGTCAACTTTGCTAATGAAGCAAGTTGTCAAGAGAACAGAAGAGGTGTTGGGGGATTACCAGAATGGCTTCTGTGCAGGAAGATCAACAACAGACCACATTTTTGCAAAAGTATGATGCCAGAGAAATTCTGGGAATGGAATGTTGAACAGCACCATTTGTTTATAGATTACAAGCAAGCATACAAAAGTATAAACAGAAGTGGAATGTATGAAAAGTTAATATATTTAGGGTGTCCTTTGAAGCTTATCAGGCTTATCAAGATGACCCTGCAAGACAGCAAAGGAGTTGTCAAGATTAAAGGAAAATTGTCAGAAGAATTTAATATTCAGAAAGATGTTAAACTGGGAGACCCTCTTTCCTCAGTTTTATTCAATATGGTATTAGAAGTAGTCATGAGGTCGATCCAGACAAGACCTAGGGGATGTATCTACCACAGACTGACACAGCATCTAGTGTTTGCAGATGATATTGTGATTACCAGAAGAACAGTCAGTGCATTACTTGAAGCATTTGAGGAGTGCGAAGTAATCGCTAGTAGAACAAGGCTGGTAATTAATATAATAATAATAATAATATAATAATAATAATAATAAGGCTTAGCGAACCCGAAGGTTCGATGCCGACACCACCAATCGCTTGTTACACACCTCCCTCCACCGTTCGCCGTCCAAACCCAGTCCCTTCAGATCGGTTTTAATGCAATCTTCCCACCTTCGCTTCGGTCTACCCCTCAGACGCTTACCATTCGGCACAGCAAATATTAACCTTTTAGGAATTCTCTCGTTACTAAGCCCAACAACTTTACAAGCCCATTTGATTCGCCGCGTAGAAATTACATCAATTATATTACTCGGATACAGCTCACGCAATTCGGCGTTGTGTAACCGTCTGAACTCTCCGGTTAACTCATCCTTCTTCGGTCCGAATATTCTACGCAATACTTTATTTTCAAAAACCTTAAGACGCTGCTCATCCCTTAATGTCAGCGGCCAAGTTTCGCATCCATAAAGAACTGTAGGCAAGATAATTGTTTTATAGATTCTAATTTTTAAGTTTCGGGACAAGAGGCGCGAACTAAGTAGTTTTGTCACAGAAAAATAACAGGCATTCCCCGCCTTCAGTCTAACCTTAATCTCTTCTTCAATTTCGTTTTTTCTAGTTATCGTAGAACCTAAATACCTAAATTTATCTACCTGTTCAAACATAGGTAATTAATATAGGAAAAATTAAATATATGAGGACCAGCAAGGAAGAAGGAGAAAACAGGCATATTGAACGGGTGCTGGATATAATTTCGAGAGAGTACCACAGTTTAAGTATTTGTACACTGTTATCATTGAGGATAATAAGATTAGGGAAGAAATTAAGGCAAGGATAACAGCTGGCAATCAATGCTACTGGTCTCTAATAAAAATATTTTGAAACCGGGATATATCCAGAGCACTCAAAATGTGTCACACTGTCCTTCAGCCAGTCATGTATAGAAGCAAGTCCTGGACGCTGACACGCAACGATGAAAGGCTGTTTAACAAGTTGCAAAGAAAAATCCTCAGAAAGATCTTTGGCTCTACAAAAGAAGGAGATCGCTGAAAGATGAAGACAAACGAGGAACTTAGAAATCTATGTGAAACACCAGATATTGTTGCCACAATTGAGAGAGTCAGGATAAGATGGCTGGGGTAGGTACAAAGAAGGGAAAGTGGTAGACTACCAAAAATGTAGGGATTCTCTGGTGGAAGAAGGTGCAGAGGGAGACCTAGACCTTGATGGCTGCAGGATGTAGAGGAGGACATTCCGACGCTGAGTGTCGGCAGATGGAGAAGGGCAGCCAAAGACAGGTCAGAGTGGAGGAGGATCACTGAGGAGGCAAAGACCATAAAGGATAGGATATCCCTTAAAAATAACAATAGAAACAAAAATGATGATCAAATTATGGCCATAAGATTGATAACATAAGAAGAATTTAAAATAAATACCTATGTATGTTATAAAAAACAAAACAACTATATTAAACAACAGATAAGAAAAAGGTGAAATAAAATATTCGCTACTTAAATGGAATGATACAGAGAGGATAATTAAATTGATCATATAAACAAACATTCTTAGCAAAGATAAAGATAAATAAATAAATCGTAACTTCTGTTATTTAAAAGATTTATAACTAATTAGACATAATTGTTTAGAAGATGTGATAAACAAATAAACATAATAGTAAACTCTAACCAAGGGATCTGTACAGAGGGATGTGAAATATTTATTTATATTCCTTACAAAAAATTAAACTAAAAAAAAATATCGTATCAAGAAAATTCAATCTTTTATATAATACATATTTAGCTAGTTTGAGTTATGAAGGGGAACTGGAAAAAGGAAAGTTTTAAATGTGGATAAGGAGAAGGCATGATGAATTATAAGAGAGAGAGAATTCCAAAAGGTGTTAGAGAAGGTATTGAAGTAGTTATGGAATGAGGCAGATCTATGGAAAGGTGTATAGAGGTCAGGGGGTCAATAGTTTCTGCAGAGAGAATGGATATAGAACTTAAATTGGAGGAGATTGTAGGGCATAGGACAGGCGATGGTTGTTGATTAGTTTTTAAAAGAATGTGCCTAGGAAGTATGGTCTTCTGAAGGAGGGGAAGAGCCACCTTCACTCAACATGATAATGGGAAACACAAGAACGTCTCAGGGTACTGTTGATGAATTTTATGAAGCTATTCATAATCTTATCATAAACATTTCTTGTTGGATATTAAATGATTTACCGTTTGTATAATGAGGAAAAAATGGTTCAGGGTGGTAGTCATGAAAAAACTGTAAATAGTAAAAACTATTTATTCAGTCTTAATTTCAACCCAACTATGCAGGTCTTCATCAGGGCTTTGTGTAAGGAAATTTCTTTTAGACAAAATTAAAACAGGAACCAAACTTTCATACCTAATATACTGTAGTGTTCGATGAGCAGTAACTGTAAGGAAGGAAAAAATAATCTAATTTTTTTGAGAAAAAAAAAACCCATGAATTGGCTTGGGTTTAGTACTTAACAGTGAAGAAATATTGTTTTAAGACCCACAGTTGTGCAGAGAGATAGTTGGGTCAAGATCCAGCACAACCATCTGGTTTTCTACTTTTTATTAATTATTTAATTAAGAATAAATACTTTATAGAGGCTGGGTGTGCCCCAGGAGAGTCTCTCCATGACTGATTTAACAGAATAAATAGTTACCTGGCATCAAGCAGATTCAAATCTAGAAGTTTGAACATAAGGAGTCAGTGCTTTACACACTAATCTATCCGACTTCTAGCGTTAACAAATTATGCTTATTACATTGAAATAAAGAAGTATCAGTACTAACAATTATTATCCTTATTGTGAATATGATATTAATACTTGACTCATACTAGATTGTAAGGGAGTATTAATTTTTAAATCACTTTAGATAAAAAACATTTAGTGGATCTTATTCTTATTCATAAATTTAAAAGTAAATATTATTCATACCTGTATTGTGAACCATTACTCTGTCATAATTGAACATCTGACAGATAGTAGAGCAGAACTCCGGAGTTACGTTATTGTGAAGAGATCGTGTCGCCTGATGTAATTGGCACATTTGATCCTGCATAGCCTGTATCAGTTTGCAATGACAATGGCCTGCATTGACAGATCCATTCTGTCCGTAGAAGTCCAGGTATTCCTTACCGTTTTTATCCCAAACCCGAGTACCTTTTTAACAAGTCAAAAAAAATATATATATATATTTAATACATGATGCTTTACTACAAACAGAAAAACAATTTATATTAATTAAATACCTTGTCCTTTACATAAATCCACTTCAAGCATATAGGCATTGACATGATGTTGAAATCTTTTACCAATATTAATAATATACTTTGTAAAGTTTATTGCAGGAGCACAATTTAAAAAAATCTTCATAATGGTAATTCTTTAAAGATTTCTTGAATTGAACAAAGCAGGGGCACGCTATGAATTTTTAACATATTAATAATCACAATGTAAACTTAATAATCACCTTTATATTTATATTTTATAGTCAACTAATTATAATTTTCATTATATGAAATATTAGTTTTTCATATATTATATGAAATATTAGTTTTTCATATAATAAAGACAACATTTAAAGAATCAATCCAAATCAATAACTTCTGAAGAACCAGAGAATATATGAAGTTCAATTTTCAAATGACCCACCATAAAAATGAGAGTGTGTTACACAAGAGAAGGAATTTAAAAAGATTGACTGAAGCCGACTATGCATATTTTGATAAATTAATTAATATTATTTTTATTCATTTATGTTCCACTTCTCATTTGCTATAAATTAGATTTCACTGCTTTAATTTTTCAAATTAATAGATAAAAAAAGAAATTTTTTGATTTATGCCAATGACTTAATGAATTTAAATAAAAATTCATAAAACATCAATCCATGTTACTAGGCACTAGCAGACCCAGAATTTAATTTTAGGGAGAGGGGCTTCAGCCCAAACCTTTTTTTATATACATACCAATAATTAATTTGGAAGAAAAAGAAACAAACTAAGTACTTTTATGAAATGGTAGTTAAGTGATTCCTGAAGTCTTATTAAATGGGATTACATGAACAATAACACTTTTAAAGATAATTTTTAAATATTTTTTTCATAAGGCGTGGTTATATTTTACTATTTTTTGGAGGAGATGAGGGGACTTCATCTCGAAAGTCCCTCCTCTCCGAAGATCCGCCAGTGTTACTAGTAAATCAATTACAAAGGTCCAAATAAGTAAATAATATTACATTTGATTTTCTTTTACCTCATGTGGTATTCCTTCATTAATGTGCTTAGTTAATTTTTGTAAAACTAGGAATTTATAGGCTAGAATCGCAAAAGACAAATTTAGATGAAAAGTCTCACATGTTGCATAAAAGATTTTGTAGCTTTAGTTTAAACAAATGTTTTTTTAATAATTAAATGTGATTTGAAAATAGTTAATAATAACCATAAAAGAACAATTTTTAAGCATTAAAAAAATCTAACCAAATACAGAAAATAATTTTTTTTAAATATGAACAAATGATAAAAAGGATATGATGAAAAACAAAACAAAAAATAAATAATAGTGAAGCAGATCAATCAAAGTGTGACAAATTTCATACAAAAAAAGATGGAATTTTAAGTGATTGAATTTAATGGTTAAGATATAAATAAAAAAATATTTCAACAAAGATATATATACTACACTATTTATCATCAATTAGGAGTAGGAATTATCAGGTATCAAAGAACCAAACAATAATTATCAAGGTATAATCATCATTACTATAACTGTGAAAACTCCATTTTTTTTTTATTTAGGGTTATTTTATTTTCACATAAGTGTTATACTAAACTACACCTGATTATTGTCTATAATTGGTAGTAAACCTAATAGAAACCTAAATAAAAAGATTTTTTTTTAATTTTGGGAATGCTTACATCTTTCCAAGTATTTTTTTTTTAATTTGTTTTATTTAATTAAACTATTTATGAGTCTACTTCTAATTTCATTCCCAGACCACCAATAATATCAACATTTGTAAAAACAAGTGGATCAGTGTAAAGTTTCCTGCATAAACCTGACCAGTCTACAGCTATTCTTGATAGAGCCATAGTCAGCACAATAAAATTATGTGGTGTACTTTCAACCATGTAGTAACATCTTTGATCAACTTTTATAATGGAAGACATGTTTGATTCAAACAGATATTTGTTATGTTTGTCTTTGGCACCTAAAAAACATTGAAAAATTTCATAAATATTTAAAAATGAAATAATTTATTTTCATAATTTTTATATTACCCAAAGACTGGTAGATTTTATATTTGCCTACAAATTACCTCATAAGGACAGAATTGCCCAGTTCTTTTCGGTTATCATAATTTCACGTTTTCATAAAAATTCAGTATAGCTTTCTGGCCACAGATCAAGTACTTAAGCTATATTGGAGGAATTGATGCTGCATCTTGCTCAAAGATTCAATGGAAACAAAAATACTTTTGAGATCAGTGAAAAAGTCATCATGGATGCAATTCAAAAAGATGTATGTCGGTATATTAATTAAAGCTGTTTAACTTGAAGGTCAGAGCGCCAAACAGCGATTTTGCAATAATATCGATATTTTATTTTCGATATCACTCAATATCATATCGAAACAAAATATACGATATTATCGTAACATCTAAAGAAAAAGCAGAGCTAAAGAAATGTCTGATTTCGATATTTTTCTTTTTGATCATACTATAAACATAAATTAATTTAAAATTTAAAAATACAAAATGAACATATACATATACTAATATTCAGGGGTGCCCATCCCCCCCCCAAGGTCGATGACGCAAGAATCTACCCCCTCCCTCCTCCCAAGATATTTAATGCTCATTTTCTTAAAAACAGAACAAGCTAAGGTATAATTAAAAAAATCGATGATCATATACAATTACAATTGCTGCTGTCTTTTCCATGTTTTCCCCTCGTCTCTTAGTCCAAAAATTCATAACCCTGTTGCAATCCCCCCCCTCAAAAATGTTGATGGCGCAACTTGCTCCATGAAACCCCCTTCTGTGCACCCCTGCTAATATTTTTTAAACAATTCAAATAACAAATCTTAATGTAACTGAACTTTTAAGAACGTTTTACCCTTAATTTATAGTTTAAAAATACAGTAAGTGCACTGAAATGGCAACCCCACTATATAATAAATTTACAAAACAATGATTTATGGACCCTAACATACAAGGATACTAGAAAAATTCAAAATAACGATATTCAAAGTACAAAACATTTATGTTGGAGTCCCAAAACAATTAGTTTGGTGGCCAGACATACATTTATGTTGAGGCCCCTCTGACTGGGATGTAAAATATATGGAAAAAACGAATAGAAAACAATGATCTTCTATATATACACATACACATATATATATATATATATATATATATATATATATATATATATATAATATATATATATATATATATATATATTGGAGTGCAACCAATGGGTAGTTTCTCTTCATGTAGTATATGTCCATGTTACTTGTTGTATTTATCATTTAATACTGTAAATTAATATTGTAAATTTCAATAATAAAAAAAAACATACATATAAATATATTTTCCTGATAAGGGGGCCAGACTCTAGATGAGAGGCCCAAATGGAGCAAGGCCAGTCCTGATTGAGATTTGAAAGAATTTTCAGAGTTCAAGAAGGACAAAGAGATACTTTCAAAGAATGGATTTACCATGAAAACTAAACTTATGTTAAACACAAGCTATGTCCAACATTCAGGCAAACCCTGATTTTTCAAGTTGGATCCAACACTTGACTCAGTAACAAGTAAAAAAAAAATTAAGCTTACCATTCTTTTTAAAATGAATTATTTTGTATCCATTGGAGTTATCAGGAAACAGTATATTGCTCTTTGAAAGCGTTTATTTCCGTCTTCATAAGTTCAAATGAACATTGTTCATGAATATAAACCCACTGTTGAGAATATATCACTTTTTCAATTTAATTTTAAACCATATTGATAAAGCTTTGTTGAGTGACATATTAATACATACCCTCAATAACAAGACCTCTCCTTTTTTATTTTCACTGGGTTGTGTAAGAAATTAAAATATCTTAATAATTTCAATAGACGGAACAAAATGTACCAGAACTTTAAATCAAAACAATCATGTGGTCTCAACCTGGACTGCCTTTGACGGATTAAGAGCCACAGGGATGTAAGTCCTCATCGAGGAGGAGTTTCCTGGATTGTGAGTCCAGCTCATTTCAATCTAAGAGCCCACAGGAGAAGAGAACTAGTGTCCTGAAAACCTCCAGATTTTGGAAGCCAATCTTAAAGACTGAAGACTTGAAAATTAAACAGATCTGTGAATATTGTATACTATTATAATTGCAGTAATGTATTATGCAATATTATAATGCTTAACATCGACTACTGCATACATCCATATTGTCACAGTGACATGTGAGGGTGGAAATAAATAAATAAAATTCTGATGGTTCGAAATCTGATGATGCTACAGTTTGTTCGTTTGTTACCCATAATTCAACACATAAAATAAAACTACATAAACTAAGCAGAATATACACAGCGGAACTTAACGCAACAGCCTCAGCCCTCCACTTCTGTATGTCAATAACTCCAGCCTCAATAGACTTGATAACCGACTCCTTGAGTTCGTTAAAGGGTTTAAACGATATGTACTCAAAACATCCAGTTATCATTAAAATACATAAATATCTCCACACTCTGGAAAATCGGTTTGTTTTATATGGGTTCCCAGTCACGTGGGTATAGTTGGTAATGAGCTTGTGGATACGGCAGCCAAACATGCTCTCGTGCTTCCACACCAAAGTACTCTTATCCTGACCCCTCCAGAAATGAGTTTTCCTCTCAAAAAAGAAATATTGGATAGTTGGCAATCTATGTGGAACGAGAACCCACCTAGCAAATTAAAAAATCAGTGAAGCCCTGGATCACATCAAACCGCTCTAATCGTAGAGAGGAGGTCGCCGTGACCAAGTTAAGAATAGAACACACGAACCTTCTCAAAGTCAACCATATTTTCCAAGAATGCACTTATTATACTTCAAGCCTAAATCGATTGTCTCTAAAACCGGATACATCAGCAGTATTAAGCAACAACGAATCAAACATAAAAACAGTGATACAATTTCTTAAAATACATACTGTTAAATAAAATATAAAAATAAATATAATTTTTATTTTATTCTTTCTTATTTAAAAATTTATTTTAATATATTTCATCTTTTATATGTTTTTAAATATCTTTTTTTATTTGTATTACTCTATCTATTATTAATTATTAATTCTCCTCTAAAGAGTTTACAAATTTAACCGACTCACAGGCATTGATGACCCTAGTGTTTTACGCCTTAAAGTCTAAATAAACAAACAAACGATAAATAAAATTAATAATATGATTCAATTGCTAAAAGAACTATTTTAATTTTTTTAAAACTTTTTGGATTTGAATTTTTCACTTACCTGTTGCAAATGTTGACACTTAACTTTCTTCTCTATTAAAATACAACATTGCATTGATAAAATCCTTATTTCTTAACAACTGGTATTGGTTTTAAAATGTAATAAAACTTAAAGTAAAACGCTTTACCATAATGTTTACAATTAGAAATAGCTTCTTAATACTCAAATTTTCTAACTTTAAGTTTGGAGAAGTGTGAAAATACATTCATAGTATTTAGAACATTCAACATTAGAATTACATGATGGTACCAAGTATATATATAAAATAGCAGTACATAATAGATAAAATAATCACGAATAATAATCATTCCTAAAACATAGACATTCCAAATGAATTGAAGAATTAAAATCGATTGAGAAAAAAAATTTATTTTTCATAAATTATAAAAAATCTAAATTCAATAGACAGCTCATATATTATTTCATTATATAAAACAAACTTCATTTATACAAATAACAATCTTTATAAGATATTTACTACTTAACTAAACAATAAAAAAAAATAATTAAAAATTGTACATTAGTATCCATTGCACATCTATTTAGGCTTAATAACAATTCAATTATTTTTAAACAGGTTGAGAAATTGGACAAATGTACATCACATTGTTAAAACTATATAACATAAAAAAAAAGAAGAAAAAACACACGACTACAAAATAAATATGTATTTAAAATAAATAATACAACTTCTGATTAAATAAAAACCTAAAACAATGTAAAACTTAATGAAGAAACACTAACTTCGAAATATTAATGGCAATTTTTTTTCTTTTCTTAAAAAAAAAAAAAGGGGTTAATTAGTAACTGAAGGACAAAAGTTTTGCATAAAAATTAATCAGAAAAGTTAGTTATGGTCACTGGATGAAAATAACTATAAATCCTCATATATAACTATATCTCTCATAAAGGAATAATTAAAAACATATTTAATAATAAAAATAAAGAATCAACAAAAAGTTAAAGGTATTGCTAAACCAAAGAATATGTTAATAGAGTAATGTCGATCATTAATAAGACTCTTATGCAGTGAAAAGTTTCAATATATTCAATAAAAAAATTGACAAAATTAATTTTATCTGTTATAATTAAAATTGAAGAGAAGGATGGTCGGAGCGATCAGTCAAAATAAAAATAGCGAAAATAAATAATAATATTTATTTTTACATTTGCTAAACGTATCGGCCCGAAGTTCAGGCTTTCATCAGGGCTAAGAAACGAACCAGATATTAATAGGTATGAGATAATATAAACATTGAATAATAAAGAATTAAAATTAAAAAAGGTGAAAGGTACAGACTAAAAAATGTAGATAGAAAAAACTTACTAGAAAGTAAAAGGAAGTAGATAGAGTGAACATTAATGTAAAATAAAGTAAGTAGAATAATAACAGTAACAGAGAACTAATAACAACGGCAACAAAGCACGGACTAACGAAATAAACATCATCAAAATAAGGTAGAATAAGAAATGAAAAATGGTAATCTTAGAATAAAATGTAAAACAGCTTTGTTTTAAATTTTATGTTGTTTTGTTGCTGTTATTATTCTACTTACTTTATTTTACTATAATGTTCACTCTATCTACTTCCTTTTACTTTAAGTTTTTTCTACCTACCTTTTTTTCGTCTATATCTTGCACCTTTTTTAATTTTAATTCTTTATTATTCAATGTTTATATTTTCTCATATCTATTGTTATCTGGTTCTTTTTTTAGCCCTGATGAAGGACTGAACTTCAGGCTGAAACATCAGCAAATGTAAAATTAAATATTATAATTGGTAAATGGTTGACTGTCGTGGATAATGAAGAGAAGAATAGTTGGGGTGGTCAGTCAAAAAGGAAGGCAAAATAAATGATAATATTTATTTTTACATTTGCCGACGTTTCGACCTGAAGTTCAGGCCTTCATCAGGGCTAAGAAGATAACCAGATAACAAGATATGAGAAACATAAGTAGTGATGGTAAAAAAAAAAAATTATAAAAAAAATAAATAAAGTAAAATGAATTTTTTAGAATAATGATTGTCATTATTACTATTGTCATTATTCATCAGGGCTAAGAAGATAACCAGATAACAAGATATGAGAAACATAAGTAATGATAGTAAAAAAAAAAAAATAATAAATAAATATAAAGTAAAATGAAATTGTTAGAATAATGACCAAGAAGTAAGAGATAAATAATAATAACCATTACAAAGTGTGGAATGATGAAGTAGGCATAATCAAAAAGGGTGACATAAGTGTTACAATCAATAAATATTATTTATTTTGACTGATTACCTCAACTATCCTCCTCTTCAATTATTCACTACAGTCAACCATCAACCCACAATTATAATTAAAATTATATGAATGAGTAAAATCAGATTTTATAGAAACCAAAAGGATATACAGTCCCACATGCTATAACTAATTCTTGGTCTTCATTTTCAAAAGAAAACGTGGACCTGCACCGTGTACTAACCACTTATTAATACTTTAACTCAAGTGTCTCCAAACTAGGGCCCGCTAGCATCTCCAATCTGGCCCATGAAAGCTTCTTTGATCAAATGGTAAAATTTCAAGAACTATTAAATTAATACAAAAATATATAATTTAGCTGATTACTCACACACTAGGATACTAAAACATTTATTTCATGACTTATTTCCCTGAAGTGTCATTTATAGAACAAACTATTTCTTCTTCACCACAATCCATGGCCATCGAAACTTATTGAATGTCTCAATATTGAACTTATTTGAAGTCTCAATGCGGTCCCAAAAAATGTCAGTAGGTTCCATAATATGTTTGGAGAGAGCCCTGCTCTAAATAAACATGTAACAGGACAAGATTTGAGTCTTTTCTTTAGTGCGGGAAGCCAAAATTCTATCAGATAGAATACTTTGCTCACCACTTTTCAAATCCTCAACTGGTTTGAAATGAGTAGTAACCTAGTTTTTTTTCCACTGCTATATATAAATATCATATATATTTACATTAAAATTAAAAATTACATAAATATTTCAATAAAGAATAAAAAAAAATCAGTCATCATGACTGTCCTTTAATTAGATACTTAATTTTACATAGCCACAGACTTTGGGAGGAGCAACCAGCCTAGAAACCGAATATAGCACCTATGTAAATTGCTACACAGAGGATTATTATTAATTTTTTAAAATATATTCTAGTTTGCCATCTTGCAAATATTTCTACTTAAATACATGCCATGGTTTTGGATACACTGAGTGACTATGTTTGTCTGGAAAAATAAATAAATTAAAACAAATCATAATATTTCATAAATTAATGCAACACTTTTGACCAACAGCTAACGTTATATTAGAAAATTAAACAACTTGAGGTCTCAAAAAACAAAAATGTCTCAAAGTCACCAAACATGTTGAATAAAAAAATTAAATACAGACAAGTACTGATTTTATTATTAAAAAAAATATTATAAAGTTGTCTGCCTGAGCCTTTATTATCATATGTATCATTAAAGATTTATGAAAAGTGTGCAAATACAGAAGAATATTATTAAAAACTATTTATACATTAATTACATCTAACATTTACATATGTACAGAATATGTCACAATTTTTTAAAATTAAATGTGCAACCATTTTATAATTAAACAGGCAAATTTTAACAAAATTGAAGATTTAAACTTGTAATTAAATATTTAATTTTACACCGAAGTTTATGACAACTTCAATCCACCAACAAAAGAAATCGTAAGTATTAGGAGAAAGAAACTTCATCCTAATCCAAAGATATTTCACAATATCAACTGTCGCCTAAACTTTTATTTATTCATATTTATATATGAATATAATGTCCATTTAATTTAAATATTATCTTCGACACATCTTATGATATCTACAGAAATAATCATTTACAAAAGTTTATAAACAATAGAGTGAGGTTAAAAAGATTTTAAACTCAACGAACGTAAGTTAATAAGAACATGTTCATTATCTCGTTTCAGCTTTATGTTTCGGTGGCTTAAAACCTTTAACTTTTTTCACTTTACTTTTAGCAGCACCACCTCCAGCTTGAAAAGCTTTCCAACTGTCTACTCGATTCTGCCTTGATTCCTGAAAAAAATAAAATAAACAAATTAAAAATTGTGTTTTAAAGTTTAAATTGAATAAATAGAAACTAAGTGAGTCTCACGACATACAAACATAAAAAAAAAGGGGGGGGGAAATCTGGTTAAGATGAGCAGGGCATGTAACTCGTAGCAATCCATCTGGAAGCCTCTACGTAACAATGAATGCCTCGATAGATAGAATCAAAAAAGAAGCTATAGAGCTGTATGCAGATAAATGAAAAGAAATAGCCCAAAGCAGGCAGAGATGGAGCGGGATTGATAAGGCAGCAAGAGATCTACATGGTCTGTAATGCCAACAGACAAAAAAATTAATTTCTCGATACAATAGCATCATTATTTTGTTAGTAGAAAAAAAAATTGAATGACACTGCTGGTAACAATGCATTCAACTTATTTTATACCTAATTATAACCCATAGTACTTCTAATTATTTTTTAATTCTAATTTCAAAATGTATTAATCTAATATAAGAAAACTACATGAAATTACACTTGATGTAAAAATATGTTTTATTAATATTAGAAATAATATAGGTGTCTGTTACTGCATGTTATATTTCTTTTCATCGATACGCTTCACATTTTCTTTTTAAACATAATAAACAGTAATCTATTTTATTCATATAAAATAAAAAACAAAATAAAAACACGGTGCCCCCCACCTAACTCGTGACCTATACATGTACTCGCACGTGAAAAAAGTTTGGGAATCTCTGCACTAGACCATTCAATTAACTGTTATCATACCTCAAAATTTTTTTGCCATTCTTTATTGATCTTAGCTGCTTCTTCCTCTTCTATTTCCGCCTCCCGTTTACGTTTTCTCTCTTCAGTATCTCTTATCTCTAGCTCTCTTCGTTTCCGTTCCATATCGGCAAACAGCTTCATTGTCATGACATATACTGCATGCTTATATTTCATTGGATCATCTTCTTCCACTTCGGCTCCTTTTCCTTCTTTTTTCTGTCTTTTTCTTTTTTCCTCGATCTAAAACAAATTACACTATATAAAAAATTGGTCCCTAATTAATTAAAAATATGGTAATAGAACAAAACAAAACTTCATTTGAATTTGATTTCGGATATTGGAATGTTACTATCAAAGATTAATGAAATGAAATTCTAATTTAGACTTTGTATTTTATCTTTTATCTGCATTTAAGATACTTGCATATGTAGATTAAAAAGCAAATTTTGTTTATGTAGGTTTTAATGAATTTGGTCCACTCAATAATTTATATCTATTTTCATCTTCATATTGTTTTAAACATTCTTATATTTTGAATATTAAAAAAAAAAAAAAAAATGGTTTGGTCTTAATCCTTTTAAGAGGAGAGAATTACAGAATTTTCTTTTGTACATTTACAGTAATAAATTTTCTTAAATTACAGGATTGCCTTTGTACATTAATAGCAAACATTTTTTGTACTAATTTTGTTATTTCATATTTTTTATTTTGACTTCCAATTATTGAAAATCTCGATAATTTGTATTTTTCCCTCGATCCTTTGACAATACGAATTATTGGGATTCTACTATTATTCAATGGAAGTGCCCGTTACCTGAAATAGATTGATAAGACCAGAATATGTTATTTAAGAAAGAAATAAAAAAATATAAACTATAACAGAGTAACAAAAAATTTGTCACATGCTCACATAAATTTTGAATGTTTATTAGGCTTTTTTTTAAAAAACTGTAAATGAGATTAAAAAATGAGTCTTTAAAGTATTAACTTTGTTACGGGAGGTCCGTTATAATTAACTAGTTGGCTCGTGCAAATAATTCGCAGATTAGTCAATGAACAAATTACAAAACAATATGGAATTAAAATTATGTAACCTATCATAAGATAGAACAATAATTTCTTGGTAATTACAATCAATCAAGGAAAAGAAAATTAATTTAAAACTTCATGATGTTAACCAACATGCTTAAGAATAAAAATAAGCAAGCTGTATCTTAATAATTGGATTTAGATGAAGAGTTAACCATGATATAGCATACCGACAAAAAAAAAAAAAAAAAAACCTTTGAGGGATAATAAATAAATATCCTTAAGAATGGTGTGATACAACTTTCACTTACACCATACTTTCCAAAAAAATAAATAATCCAAAACAAACTAATAATAATTTACATTACAGTATATTTTTCAACTGTACATAATCAATAAATAAGAATTAGTTTATTTTAATGTTCCTGATCTATTAAAATATTATAATTAGATTAAGCTATTTCACTACATTTTCTTTTTCATGTGGGTGGTGACAGTAAAAAATTTAAAACTGTGGCCCCCTCTCAATAAGATTCTACTACAGATAAAGTACCTACCATCAAGTCAGTTCGTCCCCTCGCCTCCTCGATAACGTCCATACATTTTTTTCTTGTATCCTCATTCTCCAAGGTTTTCCAAGCTTTGTTAACAACTAAAAAAAAAAAAAGTTGAGTAGATTAATAACTGAAAATTAATATTCATAGATATATAACATAGGTAGGGAACACCTTTTTATCATTAGAAGGGTAGACCCAGAGGAAGAGCCAAACCTATTTTAACCGGAGTGGGAGAATCGAGTTTCGTTCCATGAGTATACCAAGAAATAAAAGTTAAACCCTCCCATGCCAGATTCGAACCGGCAATGCTAGGCACGAGAATGCTAAAATGGGCAACGCTCTAACACGCTCGGCCATCATGACCTGAAAGGGGGCATGAACCTGGTAGTTGAGCATGATCTTGGTCAAATCTCCTCACGAAATGTTGAGCATTTCATTGTCTTCACGATGAGATATTATTTATAATTTATATTTCATATTATTAATTTTGCCTTATTGATGTTTTCACTTCTATCGTGTGGTCTGAAGCACACATCTTAGTTGTTTAGTTTTTTTAGTAATATGTAAGATATTCCAGGTGAAACTGTACAAATCTTGATGGAGAGAGGAAAAAAAGGCCAATATATCGCACATCAGCCTTTTAAATATCGCTATCGACCAAAATTTCAATATCGGTCGATTCCTAATTCTTTTATCTAAATTTGAATTTTCGAATGAAATTTAAATATTAAAAAATATAAAATAATTTGATTAGGGAGTATCGTACAAAAATAAGGAAGGACAATTTAAATTATTCATAATAATAAAATTTAAGGCGAGGCGAAATTGAAGGTTTGATGCAGATAACACCAGCTGCTGCCAACAAACCTGCATTCACCAACCACCGTCCAAACACAACCCAACAAGATCAGCCTTAACTCATTCATCCCACCTTCGTGTTGGACTATCCCATGGATGCTTACCAGTCTGCACAGTGTATATTAACCTTGCTAGAAAATTGTCTTAAGGTTTTTGAAAATAAAGTATTGCGTAAAATATTCGGACCGAAGGAGGATGAGCTAACCTGAAAGTTTAGACGGTTACACAACACTGAATTGCCTGAACTTTATCTGGTTAATATAATTGAGGTGATAACATCGCGGCGAATCAAATGGGCTGGTAAAATTGTTGAGCTTAGTAACAAAAGAATTTTTAAAGGGTTAATATTTGCTCTACCAAATGGTATATGTCCGAGGGGTAGACCGAAGTGTAAGTGAGAAGATTGAGTTAAAGCTGATCGGAAGGGACTGGGTTTGGAATGCAACGGTGGAGGGAGGTGTGTGATAAGCGATTCATGGTGTCGGCATCAAACCTTCGGATTGACTAAGCCTTTTATTATTATTTATAATGGAGATATTCAACCAATAAGATACAAATAATTAATTAATAATAATTGCAATAAAATCTGAATATATCAAGTACTTACTTTCGAAGGCAGTTTGTGCCCTCTCAGGATCATCTTGGTTTTTATCAGGATGGACCAAAATTGACAACTGTAAATTAAAAAAAATTATCACAATAAAATACATATTATGAAATAACAAACAAAAAACTGTCATGTATTTTTCTCTTTAATAAACAAACAAAACAACTTCAAGAATGAAAATAAATACAATAATTCACTTATAAAAGGAGCAAGAAATGATTTCAAAAAATCATTCCAAACCAAATGGACAAAATTGGAATCAACTTTTACAACTGAAAATAAAACTTAATAACCATGCCAATTTTATACTTGATTCAATAGCACTATAAATATAGTGAAAATGTGACATCATTACCTCATTACAATCGCAATTGATAACCATGTAATCAAAATCAATGTAATCGTAGTCACATAATTATAATTAATGTAATAGTAATCATTGATTATGATTATACCCATCTAATTTTCTAACATAATTGTAATTAAAATCATATTAGTGGTTATATATTTCCAACAAAGTAATAGAATTCTCATGAACATTTTTATGTTTTGTATAGAACTAAGAGAAGAAAACATAAATTATAAATACATGCTAAATATCTATAGTAGCACATAATATAACATAGCATACTCAGAAATATATACTCGAATAATTACACATTGCATTTTATTATAACCAATTAAGTAGCTAAATACCGATAAAAAATTAATTATAAACATATTAACATTTAATTTAGTTACATGAAACACATTACATTTTAAAGTAACAAACAAGATGTGTTTGAATACCAGCAGTTTTTTAATCATGATATTTTTAGTAGATAAAATTGCATATTTTTCAGTCTACTGCTAATTTTTCAATGCTCAATTTTAAAAAACGTTGCAATTTTTGAGTTGATAATATTCTGATCTATGTGCATATACTATAATAGTTTTGAGCATAGTATAATTATGTAGCAAATGTGGTGTATATAGTACTATATAATGAAATAAAAGCAGTTACATATAAATTTATTTTCTTCTATTGGCGTTATGATCCATTTAGAGTCTAGTTGCAATGAACTCATCATTAGAGATTCATCTCTTGGAGGACACTGAATTCATCTTTTAAATTCCCCTCTTAGCAAAGTATCAGTCTTCCTCTTCTTCGAACTCCTAACAGTAGTCCCTCGATAATCTAGTATTTATATTATCTTATACAAAGTAAAAAAAAAAAAAACTTTATTTGGTCACAATTATAAACAAAATATAAATTTTTTTCATTACTTTCATTCTCCATTGATTATAATGTTATCTTTTCAGCAATCCAAATTCTGCAACACTTTCTTTTTGCAATCACTCTAATAATTTTTTTTTTTGTCAGTTTTCATAATTCACAATAATACTACTAAATACATGATAGGATGAACTACTTAAATACAGCTTACCTAATATTATTAATATATAATGAAATATATCTTTTTTTTTACTAGATTATATATTTAATGTAATATATTTAATACATTTGCCTAATTCTATAAACTGATGTCTGTTTTAATTTGTTAGTTTAAAATGATTCCATATTTGAAAAAAGAGCTCAATGTTAAACATTTAGAACTTTCTGTTCAACATATAATTTACATTATTCAATATTCTGATTTAAAAAACTGATTTTGAAAAAAAAAATTGCAATACTTCACAATGTTGTTACAACAATATAGATCGACACAAGATTATATGACTAAATCTGAAAGTGCATATGGACAATCTATCTCCAAATCATTCAATTACTCAATTTAATCATTACTACTTTAATTGAATTTCTAGCTTCATAATTACTGTTATTCAATATTACTGAATGTATGTAACTGCTAAAAGACTTAAAAGATATTTTATTCATATTTTAATGTTCATAAATAGATTTTTTTACATTTGCTTTATAAATAATTAGAATCTATTTAACCTGATTTCTTTAATTATTTGTGTTAGAAATGTAACCCCTAATCTAATCAGTGAAAAGATAGACTCATTCAGCTAGTTTTGGCATTCCAAAACAGTGTGATCATGTGATTATGCTTCAATTTGTAAAGTAGTACAAAAAAAATTGTATTCGTAAGGCTTTAGGTCCAAATTAACGGTTAAGCACTTAGTACTCTTTATCAACTATCAACAAAAATACTTTAACTTTTCAAAACCAAACTCTTTGGCACGAAGCTTGAAAAAACCTTGGAGAAAATAAAACATATTTCATATTCAACAAAATATAAAAAATCAACTCACCCTCCTATATTTCTTTTTCGCTTCTTCAACAGGCAAGTCTGGATCGATCTGTAAAACCTCGAACGGATTTAAATTAAAATATGTAGAACCTGGTCTGAGCAATCTCTCTATTTGTTGTTTTGGAGTAAGCACCGAATCTCTTTTCTCAATTTCTTTGACCTGGAATAAAATACAACAAAACTTCTAAGAATGGGTAATAATGTTGTTTGGTTTAAGTGGAGTAATATTTTCATTGATATATTTGAAAAATAAATAAGTAATAGGCAAGGAAATACTTTTGAACTTTTAAAAATAACAGCATAACCTTACCATAACCTACGCACTTAGAATTCAATTCATTGTTTAATGTGAAATAATTAAAAGTAATACAATATAATGAAATATTAGAGGGACAAACCTCAGTATAAAATGCATTGAAGGCAGTTTCTTTTTCAATCGGTATTCCATTTCTCACAAGTCCTTCTTTTGAAGACGCCATATTTTAAAAACAAATTAATATTCCAAAACTATCAGTCACACATAATTAAATCTCACTTTAAACAAATAAAATAAAAAAAAAAGTATTTAAACAAAGTATCAACTATGTCCTAAAAAATGATAAAACACATTCATAACAAGAGGTAGTAACCACAACGATCACCAGGGAAGATCTTTTGAGTTCGATTATAAAGGTTAACAAATAAGAACAGACTTTAAAAAGATAATTCCAAAAAATGTGGAAGAACTACATTTAATAACTCAAGTATGAATAGAAATTATAAAAAAAAAAAATCGGGAAATGTTTTTTTTTTCGTAACAGAGAGGGGGTAATGGATCCGAACAATCATGAGCATCCAAAGAATTAAATCTATAAACACATCGTGCATCCTAAAAGACAATATCATGACTGAAAAATTATTTAGACTTTTTAAACATTATATTTCGCCCAAATAGATTATATTCCATTGCTAATTATCTTATATTGCTTTATTGCTTTACCTTATAATGTGTAGCATGTTAAATTCAATACATTACGGAATGATTTATTTGAGACATCTACTAATAAAACGTGATAACATTTTATTTTTTTCTCTTCGTCTATTATTTAAAAATTATTAAATTACTAAAATAAATAATGAATTAAAAGTTAATTTGCACTGCAAAAAACAAATCAATGAAGAAGTCGGACCCCAGTGTCGGTGATTTATTCCAATTAACAGCAAACTTCTTAATTTTTTTTTCCAATATTACTGCAAAATTTTAAAACTTCTTTTCTGTCAGTAGGTCTCTTCATTTGTTATATGTATGATTATCATTTGATTGAACGTGAAAAACAGATTATGTTACCAATCCGACTCATTTTCGCTGAAAACTGAGTTACGTGGTGTTCGTATAAATTGTACGTGAAATTTATACGAACAGATTAAAATAACGAATTTCCTTCGTCGATTTTTCTAATTATATTCCACTCATTCCTTTAAGATTGCCGTCTTAATGAAGTAGACTTAGTTGCGTCGCACAGTTTGGCCTAAATTATCAGATATTAATTTTTTAGTAATTTACATTTGCAAGATAGAGAGGTATTATCCACTTGAGAGAGCAAAATAATAAATTTCAGTCGAAATACTACAAAAAATCTCAGAAAAACAACCTTCAGACTTATTTAATAAATCGATAACACAAAAGACACCACAGCTAAACAAATAGATTAGCTTTATTTTAGTTATGAACCATTACAAAATAATATTGGTTAAAATTTCTTAGTTATTGAAAACAAGTCAAAAAATTAAAAACCTTCCCTCATTTGGATCGATTTTCATTACTGAATCAATGAAAGCTAGGGGAAAGAGAATATGAGGAAAATTTTCAATGATGATTGACCGTCAAAACACAAATTGAAGCATTTAACTTAAATATACGTTAAAAGTCTAACATTCACCAATTATCAGCTCAAATCATACATTTTTAAGGAAAAAAAAAAACGGTTTTCTAGACCTTATCATTAAATTAATTAAGTTTTAGACCTTACTATAGAGATCAACCCTCAGGAGTCGCATACGTAACATGCGTGACCAAAGCACAGCTACACTTATATACGTTCGATATGGTTTGGATAACGTGAAAACGTGGAAATGATTGTAGATAAAAAAATACTATACACCTAAAATAATAAACTTATTTATTCTTATGTATTTTTTAATAAAAATGTGTAAAATATTGGCACCATTGAATACATTGGTGGAGAACATTTGGAAATTGGTGGGACGTGTCTCTACCGTTCCATAAGGACAGAATCTTACGTTTTAAAGAACACTCAGTCATACTAGAAGAATCTGTGACACTCAGCTTAATTGACTGTCATATGTTTTTCAAAGATTGTTTTATCTATGTTGTCCTTGCGTTTGCCACACGTCCTGACTTCTCTCCGTTTCCTGACCGAACTCGGAAGAGTGCAAAGTTCTTCCAGACAGAGTCGAGGGGGTCGAAAAGGGGATGATACCATAAAAAATAACCGAGAAGCGACAGGCAGGCTCTTGGGAACATTTAGAGACGCCTCTTGCTCAAACTCTTTCCCCCACAGAAATAATCCATTAGCTCGACGGAACCTCTCAACCCTCACCCCCCTGTCTCCCCCTCTTCCATTTTCTAGTCTCCTGTCTTAGGATTCTCTATAAATTCATCGAGTTATAGATGAAAAGTTAATATTATGTCAGTGATTATGTATATGTATATAAACAAAATTTCACAAATGAAGCTATTCGGTTATCGAAGTTTTATTTTAACAAATGTTCGAAAATATCATCATTGACTTCTAAACAGCCAATCTAATTGTAAATAGCCAATAAAATTTATACATATGTTTTTTTGTTATTGTTTTCCTGTGCGCAACCCATTCCAGAAGTTTTGCCCGTTCATTTGTATATATAAAATCTATACGTTTATTATTATCAACATTTAAGTTTATAGATACTAAGAACTATACTTGAATAGCTGGGAGGTATGCTGCATGGGTTTCCTTATGTACATTGTCTAATCTCTTTGGAAGACCAACAGTTTATTTTTCTCTTACAAGTGGCAAATTCTTAGTAAATTAAGGAAACATTTTTTTTTTCAGAATTATTAAATCAATGGTAAACACAGGACGTATATTAAATGCCTAAAATGAGAACGTTTATCTGTTTACAAAAAAAGAAAATAACCTGTACCACTTAAACCCATAGGGGTTTTTGATTCAGTACTTTATAAGAAAATACTATCATTTCTTTGTCGCCTATGCAAGGAAGCGATTTGACCAAGATCACACTCAACTTCCAGATTTTCCCCTTAAATAATTATTTATTTTAGAGTTAGAACTTCGCAGAAGCTGTGTATGCCATAGGGGAGTCTCCCGATCTCAGGATAAATTCAGGTCTGATATAACGGAATGAATAATTATCCGTCACAACCAAACTGGAATCTAGAACCCAGAGTATATGAGTATATATATACTGTTAATATTAACAGTAATTGAAAGAACATTCTAATATTCCATTATAATACAAAGTATCACTGTAGAAAAATATACCAAAATTGAAATATCTAACTCAGTAATAAGAACGTAATATTTCTTTTAGATAAGTTTTGCCTTAAATTGATAAACCCAGTTTATGAATGTTACGAATTTTGGTAAAGCTGTAAAGTGTGTGAAACTGTTACTTGAAAAAAAACTGTTTAAGTCACAGTTACTGTTATTGGAGGAACGTTGCTGTTCCTGAAGTTACGGATTTGAATTTTATTATAATGTTATGATTCCACTTATATCTTATGAATATCTAAATTAAAAGAAAAAAAAATAGTTTAAATATACTTATATTTAGTTTGAAATGAAATATAATTCAAAGTAAATAAACTAATTTGGTTATAAATCATAATTATAACTATTGGAATGACGGAGTTACTCAATAAGAAAAAAATATATTCAAAATAAAAATTATTACTTGAAGCTAAATCATCTGACAAACGTGAGTTAAATTTTTGCATGTAACAGATGCTAAAATAATTCTCGAACTGATTCTAACATGTTTAGTAACCGTTACGCAATTTTAAAACACTCGGACATAAAATATTTTACGAAAGAATTTATAGATCAATATATGTATATAATCAACAGATCTTTATAAAAATATACTTTAAATCGAGTAATTATTGTTTTCAAATTTTTGATTATTGAATATCGATTAGACAGACTGTTGATTATAAAATCAATTTTTAAAATTAAAAAAAAACATAGGTTTTCACAAAAAATACTGAACTAAATTTGATGAATTCGTGTAGAGGGGGGTTATCATTTATAAGGCAGGCATGTAACATCATTAAATGAAAGATAATGCAGTTCAAAACCTAAAACATTCAAAAGCGATGTATTAAATTGGATTTTTAAATAGTAAGAGTAAGCCTGATTTATTAAATTAATTATTTACTAGAAATAATAATTATATTGATAACATTGCTGTGACATCTTTCATCTAAAGTTTATAAAAGAATAATATATTTTTAATATTAATTACCTCTCTTTGAAACTAATTGTTGATATAAACTGTTAAGAAAAAAAAAATTTAAAAATATTATCTATTTTTAAAATAATTCTTCGATGGAACTAGCTGAGTTGAAGAAGTATGTAGATATCGTAGACCAATGTTTTTAGTCTGTTTAATATCTTTACTAAATCGAACACTCCTGACATCAAAAGATATTATAGAATACAAAACTTTTCTAGACAAAATTTTCCTGTCAGTTCCATGTGAATTAAAATAAAACAAATTAAATAATAATTATTTATTATATTATTTAAAAAAAGAAATAAAAGGTTTTGAGTGATTTATTTTATGGTAAGTGGTGGGAGGTGGTGTGATCCAAGACTAACCGAATTCTCTATAATTGAGTTATCCATGTCCGGCGGGAGCTTGTTGCTTTGCTTTTTTTTTTCTCTTTTTTTTATTCACAGTTAATTTTAGTTTTTTGTCTGCTTCTGTAAAGTTCTGATGTGTTTTGTTTTGTTATTATATTATATTTGAAAGCTTTTTGAATTACTATCTATTTAAACGTTTTTTTAATTAAATAATTGTGTTCTAAAATCAGTGGTTTGTGAATTTCAAGAAAGAACATTTGGCCATCTTGGAAATAAGTCTCTGTAAGTTTTTAAATTATCAATTATCTGAATGTGTTGATTTATATTGATATTAACTATTAATACTTCCAGAAATACTTTAGTTTTATTGCTATTTTGGACATGAATATTTTTATTATTATTATATACATTGGAAATAAGTTTATATTCTGAAATAGTTCAATATATGGAAATGAATTTGATTTGAAAACTGATAATTCCAAAGCTATTTTAATATTAATCTAATATTTTATGCACTTTTTATTTATTAATAAGTTTGTGCGATTATTATCAAGACTTTAAAGATTTTAAGCTGCATATCTAAATATTCATGAATTCCTTTTAAAGTTTGATGCTTTTTATTATTTGTTCATTTAAAACAAATATATGATATTTATCAGTTATACGGTTGCTGGCGTCTCACATAATCACACTACACTTGGAATTACAGTAGTAGGGTGTATTCAAAATCGTTTATGTACGAATATATTCAAGGAGACATTAAAACATAAACTTCTTATTAAAAATAAAGAAATTAATAATATAATTGAATGTATAGTGCACTCCAAAATTGCGTTAGTTCTGATCATACTATTAAGATATACATCGGTTATATAAATGTTATGTGGTTTAATAAGAAAGTGAGCAAATCGTTCATTGCTTTCGGCCATTCATAGTTACCGAAATTCATATGTTCGAAATTTCACATACAGTGTGATCGTGTGAACTTGCCACAAGTCGCTATCATACCGGTCATCTTCTTAACAAATGTCTTATTATTTTATATGTTTTTATATACTTACTATTATAAGGAATTAAAAAAATAATACTGTTTTGTAATCCTTTAAAACATTTACTAACTGATTAACAGTTATTCCTAAAATTAAATTATTTATTTTAGCTTTTATGTCATCTAAAGTAATGAAGATAACACACTAATATTTCATATGATAGCATTTGAAAAAAAAAATTCTGAAAATATGGGTACTAGTTCCGTTTGGCTAATCCTGGATGGTAGTGGGCGGTTTCAAGATCACTCATGCTACAAGATTCCCGAAAATACCCGAATGTATCCGAAAGAAAACGAAGTCAAGCAATCTCTAACTGTTAATTTAAATTACCCGCCAATTCAGATGGGAGATTTTATCGATTATACTAGACGATAGTAATAGTTAAAATAAAACCGAAAATTTATTATTATTAACATTCAGGTTACTAAATTATACATATTTAATTATTGTTAAACATTGATTAGATTTAAATGTTGTTTTTAAAATTTTTGAATTGTGGTAATATTGTAATATACCATTAAACAGCTACCACGAATATTTGGTTAATTTCTCCAATGCAAGCAATATCAACCATAGCTCGAATCAGAGATGAGATTCTCTGAGGGCACACTCATCCTTTATAAAGTGCATCAAAATGCTGATATCACTTCCTTGTACAACCCTTGATTAAGAAACATTTCTAATTTATCATTTAATGAACGGTAATAGTTCATTGATTGCAGTGGTGCACTTTTTTAATTTTTTATTTAAAGTATGTTCTACAAATGAGAGATCTTTCTTTGAATTTGGACATAATGTCTTTGAATATTAAACATGGAAAAGAAAAATAATCATTCTGTAGGACTAATAGATCGACAGAAGAGGAGCGCTTTCGGGCTGAAGCCTCCTAAAATAAAATTAAAATATTCAACTGTGATTATTTAAAAACAAACTTCTGTTGCGGTGCGCGCATCACACAACTTCCACTTACTATCCTCATTATAGGAGAAATATGTATTTTCAGACAAAGGTAAGAATCACAGAGAAAACAATTAAAAAAAAAAATCAATTACCATATGTTTTTCATAGCCGTATAATATAGTATATTTACTCTTTTCTTCTTTTTTTTTCACTAATCGTTGCCTTAAACGGTTGTATATTTTAATTATTTATTTTATTATAATAAATTATCAATTAACAGGAAATATTTTTAATCCGACTAGAGTGCCACTGATGAATTTATATATTGCATTGTAGGTATCTTTGTTTGTTCAAGCATTGGTAAATATGTGTAAATTTTAATTTTTATATTTTAATCTATACAATTCAATATTAAATAGTATCAACGCAAGCATTTATGAATACCCCACATGCTTATGCAAAGAGGCCTGTTCTAACCTTCGGCCAAGCTCGGCAAAGTTCGGCTGCGCGCTCGGGTTTCGTATGTTCTCTATTAAGAACGAATTATATTAGCTTGATTCTCCTTTAGATAATTATCGAATTCTTTCATATTTAAACATTTTTTATATCAGGTTCCAATGTGAAGTGATTTATTATTTCAAATAAAATTAGGCATTATTACTATACACATTATACTCGGAAACGTTTAATTTCACCCTGATGCACTGAATTTAATCAAAATCGTTAGAGCTATTTTCGATAAAATCTTAAAAATGTCCAAGATCAATATTATAAAGAGGCACTTCTGGTTTGCCGACTTTAATGAAAAAGTTGTAAAAGCTGTAAC